CTTTCTTTTCTTCACACCCTAGTCAGCAAATTCCATGCAAAGTATTGTGGACTAATTACTATGAAAGGTAAAGTGTATTTTGTGAATTATGTTAGGACTAGAGGCCCGGTGCATGAAATTCATGATGGGGATGGGAGGGAGGCCCTCAGCCCAGCCTGCACCCTCTTCAATCCGGCCTAAACTAGCAGTCGGACATCCTTCTCACAATCCTGGACTGCTGGCTCCTAATTGCTCACCTGCCTGCCGGCCTGATCGCCCCTCACTGCTGCCTGCCTGATCACCCCTAACCACTCTGCCTGCCTGCCTGATCACCCCTAACTGCTTGCCTGCCTGCCTGATCGCCCCCTAACCCCCTCTGCCTGCCTGCCTGCCTGATCACCCCTAACTGCCCCCCGCCCCCGCCGGCCTGGTCGCCCCACACAGCCTGCTTGTTCAGGCATTTGGTCGTCCCTCACTAACCCCCCTGTCGGCATGGTCATAGGCAGCCATCTTGTGAGGGTTAATTTGCATATTACCTCTTTATTATATAGGATAATTTGCTTATTAAGAGAAGAATCTGTGCCCCAAATTACATTGATTAAAAACACACACATTACAAATCTGATGTGATTCTTTGGTTTATTTAAACCTTTCTCTTGAGGAGAACTTTCTTTGAAGAACTTTCTTAGTCTGCACTAAGATGAAGCAAAGGCATTCTTGGCTTCCTTCAGAAAGTTTATTACCTTACGTGTCCAAAACTTGCAGCCATGCGATCAACTATTAAGCTTTCCGAGTGCCAGATGCCTTTTCTGTTACCTGTCTGCCACTCCTCTCAGCACAATGGACAGGATTTGGCCAACTCTGATGAAATGTTTACTATTGTTCCACTCTGGGGCTTTTCACACAATAAGTCTGTGATGGTCCCTCTTCAGACTTTGCATCTTGTTTTTATAAGCTGTATCCTTAATGATTGACCAGGTTCCTTCTCAAGTAGATTTAAGATCTGCATTTTTATTGATTTCAGGGAGGAAGGGAGAGGGAGAGAGAGATAGAAACGTCAATGATGAGAGAGAATCACTGATTGGCTGCCTCTTGCACACCCCACACTGGGGACTGAGCCTGCAACCCAGGCATGTGCCCTGACCGGGAATCGAACTGTGACCTTCTGGTTCATAGGTCGATGCTCAACCACTGAGCCACGCGTGGGCCAGGTGGCAATAGGTTAATGATTCTAGAAAAAGTATTTTTACTTAGCAAACTAATTTCAATTGCTGTGTGAGTTTTGCATGGAGGAAGACATGGATTTCTCCGACTCTGTAGTGTGAAGTGAAAAAACAATGCCTTAGTAAGCATTTGTAGATTTATCTGGATCATCTAATTTACAGGGTATTCCTCCCCTCCAATTTGTATGTGTTTAACCAGTTAACTACCACGCATCCAAAACTGAAACTATCCCCATATTTTGAATTTAATTTTAAAAATCAATTAGCAACGAATATTATAAAAATAAATATAGTACTCACAATTTGGGTGTTCTTGAATATTTTCAGCTAAAAATTCTCACAAAAAATGATTTTAAAGTTGGTCAGGGCTGCCACTAAGGGAAAACATTTTTTTTTATAGATGCCCATTGCCGTGTGGGGAAGGTCCACCGCTTGTGTCTACAGACGCTTATGGCGGACAATGGGTTAAGAACTTAGGGGAAAACCCTACAGTGAGTAGGCATTTGGAATCAGACCTGGGTTCAAATCCTAGTTCTTCTATTCACTAGGAGTAGCTGTGTAATCCAGAAAAATATATTGAGTTTCTTTAAACCTTAGTGGTCTTATCTTTAAAATCTCACATCATAGGGTTGATATGAGTATTAACTTAAATTAGATATTGTATGTAAAATGCTTAACATACTATGTAACACTTCAGAAATAATAAGTGAGAGCTATTATAATAAGGAAGAGTATGAATGACTCTAGATGTGATACATGGAAGTTCTCTATTGTTTGGACATTTTCTCCTCACAAAATAGAAAAAGGTGGCTTAATGTGGACATTATTAAAGATAGACTTGGTTACACTATTGAGAAACTATGTTTTTCTACCTCACATGTTGTCTAATTCCTTCCTAAAACATTACTTGACTAGTTTGTTATTTCTGAGTACTTTTGCATTCCTGAGATAGAACAGGTGTTGATTGCTGACTTTGTTGTGGAGATAAAGATAGTAAACCCCATTTGGCTTATCAAAAAAGGACTAACATCCATGTGCAGATGTCAGAGGAAAGCAATGAATGTGAAATTTTAGTGTCACAGAGGAAAAATATTTGCTAAGACATTAACATCATGGATCTAGCACATGAGATTTTCCAACAGCCAAAGTAAATTAAGGTTGAAAATAATAGGGAACTTAAGATTTTGACCTGATATAATATAATTAGATAATTCTAAAATGTGTTTTTTCTGTAATGGATCAATTCTGTAATTAATTAATTCAATAATTAATGTTCATCAATGAATTAATATAATCCTATAAAAACGATTAATGCTATAATAAAATTTATTTTAAAATACTAATATCAGACTAAAATTTTTAGAAAGAACTAAATATAGAGTTGGTATAAGAAAATACCATTTTCTGCATGTTTGCAAATACAATTGATTAAGTAAATGCATGTCACATACAAATAGTTATGCATTTATTCTATTTTAGGAATAGTCTAGTGTTGTAGATACTATAAAAGATGCATAAAATCCAGGGAAATAAGACATAAACACATGCTACAGTCAAATACAAATGTCATGTATGATTAAAGCTAAGTATAATTAAGTTTAATACATCACCCCTCACTTCCTATGCTTTGAGAACCATCTTCTGGAATTTCTATTAACCCATGATCTAAGTTGAAGTTGTCAAATCAATATTTGATGTACCATTCCAAAGAGCCTTAAGATCTTATAGAGAAAGTTATTTCAGATAAAAGGAATTCACATGTGGTATGGAGTCATAGGGAGTCACAATTCAGTTTGGGAAGCCCATGTGTCTTAGCTGTGATGTGTAACAGGTCAAGAGTTAAATTTGAAACTTTCTATTCATCATCTCTTTTTTCTTTGGCTCGGGGCTGAAAGCAGCCCACTCTGCCCACAAACAAGCTGTGATGAAATACAGCAGGTCTGCTCTGAAGTGCTCTGGCTCCCATTACAAAGAAACATCTCTTCTTTGTTCATCATCGAAGCACAAAAGATGCTCTAAAATTCCAAGGACAAATCACTGAATTAACCAGAAAACAGGGTGCAGGGTTAAGGACCACCCCACCTCTTGTGTTTATGTTGTTCATAGTTAGAGTGCTGTAAAGAGTACACACACACACACACACACACACACACACACACACACACACACACAGTAGGAGTTCACTTCAAAAAAGAAGCATGAATGTAGATTTCAAGATTTGTTGGAAGAATTGAATATTCATTATCTGAAAGGAAACACCACACTGTATTTATTTTTCTATTATAAACCTAGTGTTTTGAAAAGCTTTCCTTAGTTTCTTAAATATGTATGGGTTCATAAAGGAAATTTACTTTCAGAAAACAACATCTCTGTAGTTTATCTGGGATGAGTCATGAAAATCTTGCTGCTTAGTTGTTCTGAGGAAGGACTATTCATCCTGTGAGTTCTAAATAAGCCCATGCACTAACCTACTATATTTAAGGGTTTAGGCAAAATTTGTAGTGCAGCCCCCAGGATATTAGAGCTCTCTTCACAGCACTTTGAATCCTAGCTTTTGAGTTCAGTATATTTACAACATACCTGTTGGTTAAGTTCTTTTGCTCAGAGACTGACATAATCTGTAAAACATTCATCATGGAATGACTCAAAGGTGCTTCCCACAGGACAGGTTAGCTGCTGCTTTTGTTTTTGTTTTTTGTTTCCTGTATTTTGCTATAAAATATACTGTTTAAAATTTTGATTTTGTAGTTGATCTGTTTTCTCACAATTCTTTGTGCTTTTATTCACATTCCTGTAAATGACTGACATTAAGAAAACAAAAGCAACAACCTGATTTTGAAAAAAAGAGGCCATGGAACAATAGAATTCCATATCACTAAAAATTACACCACCCTCTTCCCTTTGCTTTTCCCGTTCCCTCTCTCTTTGTCAAGCCCCTCTCCAACCTTTGTGGATTTCTCTGCACATTGTGACTTCCATTTGGTTCCTGGCAGGGTTTGAGGTTTGAATTTTCTGATGGAGTTGGAATCACTTTTAAAAAAAATAAAAAGTTTTACTTTACACTTTAGATCCACAGAATTGTCGCAAAGATAATACTGGGGGGTTCCCAAATACCCCACACCCAGTTTCCTCTATAATCAGCATCTTACATTAGTCTGATACATTCACCATAATTAGTAAACCAATATTGATACATTATAATTGACTCAAGTCCATACTTCAGAGTTCCTTGATTTTCCCCTAATGTCACTTTTCTGTTGCAGGATCCCACCCTGGATGCCATATTACACTTAGTTGTCATGTGTCCTTAGGCCCCTCTTGGCTGTGACAGTTTTTCAGATTTTCCTTGTTTTTTTATTACCTTGATAGTTTCAAAGATTATTGGTCATGAATTTTATAGAGTGTCTCTCATTTGGGATCTGTCTGATGTTTTTCTCATCATTAAATTTGGGTAATGCTTTGAGGGAGGAAGACCATAAAAGCAAAGTGCCTTGCTTATCACTTCCTATCAAAGATACATACTATAAACATGACTGATTACTATTGATGTTGACCTTGATCATTTCGTTTGAGATATTTGTCATGTTAGAATCACATTTTCACTTTTTCTTGAAGACCATCAATGCATTTTTCTGAAGATTTTAATAATACATTAATTAAAGCTATAAGGAAGCTAACTGAAACTGATCTTTTGTTTTTTCTTTATTGGTGATGTTGTAAAGCTGCAACAAGTCTTTAAGTAGTTAGAAAAAATATAATTTCAATGGTGGTAAAATATATAATCTTTCTTTGTGTTAGGTGGGAATGAGATCCCGAAATCAGGGTGGTGAAAGTTCATCCAACGGGCATATCTCCTGCCCCAAATCCTCCATCATAAGCAATGTTGATGATAAAAGTCTCTCAGAAGATGCAAAAAAGAAGAACAAATCAAATAGAAAGGAAGATGATGTCATGGCCTCAGGAACTGTCAAACGACACCTAAAACCATCTGGAGAAAGTGATAAAAAGAATAAGAAATCCTTGGAGTTATCCAAAGAAGACCTCATCCAGCTACTCAGTATAATGGAAGGAGAGTTGCAGGTAGAATCAAATTTTCTAAACTATTGTGTTTCTAGTTTCTAAGCTATAAAATAAGAGATTATGAATCTGTCTGTCTCACTGAATTACTAACTTCATGGGGGAAAGGGCTATGTTTTTCTTATTCATTTTAAAATCCCTATTGTCTGGCATCAGTTTGCACTGAATATATATTTGTTGAATGAAAAAATAAATGAATAGCTGATTTTAAGCTTCTCTAGAAGCAGAAAATTTCTTCATGATATGATTTTGGTAATAATTTAACACAGGCCCTATACTTAATAGTAGTAATATAATTTAATAGTAATCTAATTTAATTAGGTGGCTTATTTAATTTAGCCTTTGACTATGACTGAAAATCAGAAAATTCATGATTATTAGAAGACCAAGATCAAGTGCCACTTTTGATTTTTTCCAGAAGGTAGAGTAAAAGAGAGATCAAGAGACAGAGGAAAGAAAGAGGGAGAAAAGGAGGGAAAGAGAAAGAAGGCTTTGTTTAAACCAGCCTTACACTTTTCTTATTTTTGTAAGTTTCAGCTTAATGTCATAGGATTTGAGATGCACACAAATAAGCAGAACATTGCGTTGTGAAGGCCTATTACTTTCACAAAGTATTTTCAAGTCTATTATCTCATTCAATATCAATAAAAATGTGGGTACCATTATCTATTTATATATATAAAAGGCTAATATGCTAAGTGTCCGTCCGACTGGTAGCTGTGATACGCACTGACCACCAGGGGGCAGATGCTCAACGCAGGAGCTGCCAAGCTGCAGTGACTTGGCAGCGGCGGTTCTCAGGTGACATACCTCGAAACCAGAGAGAAGGGAGCCCGATTCCTCGTGGGGCCATGCAATTCCACCTTCGGCTGGGGCACTGTAGGCCCCGAATCTGGTTTACTGCACACTTCCGTTTACATTACACACCCTGTATGACAGCACTTTGCAGAATGCCCTCTCGCACTCCGGGACCCCTTGGGGGATGTCGGAGAGCTGGTTTCGGCCTGATCCCCGCAGGCCAGGCCGAGAGACCCCACCCGCTGGAGGGACCCCGCTCACTCCGCAGACGCCCTTCGAGCCTCGGGCCACCCTAGGTGCGGCCGGCCGGGGAGGGACCATGGGAGGTTGGCTCCAGGGCATGTCTGGTCCTTCTCATTCAGTCCCGCCCTACCGGCCACCTTCTAATTAATTTCCTTTCAATGTGCACGAATCTGTGCACCGGGTCACTAGTAGTTTATAATGAGGAAACTGAGGTCCAGAAGGGTTAGGGGTTTGTCCAGATCTCATCTTAGGCCTCCTCCTTCTTGGTCCAGCGCTCTTTCCACAGTCTGTTCTCACTAACCTTCTGTAGCTACCTGAGCCATGTCCCCCATTCAGTGTCTGTTCTTAAGGACCCAAGAGGAAGTTGGGATTCTTCTGAGTACCTGAGCTCTAGACAGTTATATTTCTGGAAGTGGGGAAACCATAACTTCTTTTTCTGGTCTGTGTTGGGTCGGGGTGGGGTGGAGGAGAAGATGACTTAAGAGTAGAGATGCCGTTTTCCTTTTTGTTTTCGTTAGGTTCTAGGGCAATGATTTTCAACTGGTGTGCTGGAAGAATTTTTTAAAACATGTAATACCTGACTATTTAGTCAGGGTCATTGACCTCTGTTCCTTTAAGATTGTCAAATGAAAAAATGACAACAGCCAACACAAACAATAGCTGTCCAGTGTAAATGAATCAAAATTATAACTATTTTTTGTCAGACTGACAAAATATATATATTTTTTGGCGTGCAGCAGAATTTAAGTAATTACTTTATGTGTGCCATGAGATGAAAAAGGTTGGATACTAGGGGAATACTAATGATTGTGTGAGATAAACCTTTGTTTGGAGCTGTTAGTATCAGAGGTATTATTTTCAACCTACCCTAATCTATTCCTTTTCTCATCTGTGTGTGCACATAGATAAGGAAACCCCTGGGGTGAAGAGAAATAGAAAACATTACAAAACTCAAATTAAAACAAACAAACAAACCTGGTTGAGCTTACCATTTACCTTTGGATAAAAAATCACATTTGCATTTCACAACGAAAGATGAAATTTTCCAGAGCACCACCATTACTAACAATAGCTCCACCACTCTCAGAAATGTGGTTAATGTTTTGTCTATTAACATTTATTGTGTAAGGAGGCAGAATATATTAGTTCAAGTTTTTAAGCTGCCCCCAGCAGACGTTATTGACCTGAGTGGAAGGTACAATGGTTGCTTTTGAAATCATCACTAAAGAATGTCACTTCTCTCCAGGCAGGGTGGCCTGTGTGGAGCCTGTGGCTCTTCCAGACTCTTATTTCTGCAGAAGGCTGTTATATTATGGTGGATTCTGAAAGGCATTTAAGGTTCATGTGGCTTTTATGTTCGTCGTGTTGCCAGATACAAATCCATAGCCTGGGCTTTCAAATACAGGGTGAGGCACACATAGGTTTACAGTTGTTTGCATGGGAAAGAATACAATAATAAATAATAATAGAATAAACTCTGTGTTTCATGTACTCACAACTGTAAACTTACTTTTGCCCTACCCCTGGACATACCCAAGACATCAAAGAAATTAGCAAGAAATACATTCTGCTCTCCATTAATTTTTATGAATACAGGATACCTTAGCTTATACAATAGATGTATTTCTGAGCAGTAATAAGTAAGTAAAAAGTGTAAGATACTTGTGGGGGAGGTAGTGAACAAAAAGAGATATGAAAAACCTGATATTTCAAGGAATTCTATGGTGCATTCATTCGCAAAGCAAATAATTCATCCTCCACATACTTATATGAGCTCACATACATATGTAAGTATGTGTACTTGTAAATGCAGATTGTGCAATATTAGACTTGTTAAAAATGAGGATGTTCCTATATTTAGAGCTGACGATATGTGTTTGGGTAGCCGACACCTGTACTTTATTAGCATTATCACATGGGGGGGGGGAGGTGCAGCTAAGAGTAGGAGGCAGTTGGCATTAGCAATCATGAGTAGGCTGGTAAAAATGTGGCAGCTATGTGCCAGCTTTGCCAGACTAAAGATAAGAAAACAAATCTATATAAAGATTTTGTATTGAGAGGAGAGGCAGGGATATGCCTTGTGAGACAAGTTACCCCAGCTCAGGCCTATATGCCATTTGGCTAGACATGTCTGAGCATTTAGTGTGTTGTCTCCTAGACCTTCACAGTCCACCTATTACTCTTCCTTTATAGAGTGGCCATACATGACTCATATACCCTTTACTCTGGAGGTGGTGTTCCAAGGTTCTATAAAATTTTGGGACCAACAGGCATTTTGAGATATCTTATTTAGCTCTTTTATACTATATGTGTGAAACTGGCGCTCAATGTATGTGAGTTGCCAGGGTTGCTCAGCACTTTAGTTACATTTGCTCTAGACCTAAATTCTCTGTCTTACTTCCCCAATATTATAAGCCCTCTTCTCTGTGTGTCACCCTACTTCTCTGTCTCTCAGTCCAATGCCCCTCCCACTGTATCATTTATACTCTAGAGATGTTCAAGGGTGGGTTCCTTTATGTTTATTCTTTACCTTTAGAATTTCTTTTAAGCAGTCTAATGTGAACGTTGAGGCCAAAGCCATTCTGTGAAAAGATAAAATCTTTTTAGGTAAGAGAAATAGAGTTAAGAGAAATGTTTCACATCATGGAGGTGGAATATAATCTAAGCCATGAAGTTTGGTTGTGATCTGGGAGTGAGAAAAGTGGGAAGATAGCAGTGCCATATGGCATGGGCTGGGTACTATACCAATTGGGGGGCTTCATATTCACTACTCTATGCGGGCTGTGACCTGAAGTTGTGCAACAGCTTAGCCTTGGGGGACTGGAACTGCTAAACAAAAGAAGTAGGGTGGCCCAGCCAGGGTGGCTCAGTGGTTGAGCGTTGGCCCATGAGCCAGGAGGTCACAGTTCAATTTCCAGACAGGGCACATACCCAGGTTTCGGGCTTGATCCCCAGTGGAGTCCCCTGTTTTCAAGTCACACCTTAGTAGATGGTGCAGGAGGCAGCCGATTCATGTATCTCTCTCATCTCTCTCATTCTATCTCTCTGTCCCTCTCCCTTCCCGTCTCTAAAATCAATAAAAACATTTTTTTTTAAAAAAAGACACACAGAGAAGAGGGCTTATAATATTGGGGAGATAAGATTAATATCAGGCCTTGGCTGGTGTTGCTCAGAGTTTAGAATAATATCAGGTCTACCTGTAGGAGATGTACCCTGAAGCACTTGGGGAAAAGGAGGAGATGGAGGCCCACACAGGCTTTTTATGCTAATTCTCTTTCTCAGACTCCTTGTTGATCTCTTCATTCTCTCCAACTCTGTAACCAAGGTTCTGGACATTAGAGATAGTTCTGTAGATTTTCTGGTTCTAGTGGTCTGCCACCTGGGGAATCTATTATTCCATCTATGGGAATTTGTTGAACCAACATTATAAACAGCATGACCTTCATTGTTAGCATTGGCACCTTGCAGAAATTTGCAAATTTGCTGTCCAGATATCCAGGGAACTCTTGAAGTGCACCTTTAACGGATATATATTATAAACGGAGTTGTCCTTCCCAGGAACCTTTGCATTTTAAAGTATCATGTCCTGAACTGGTGATGTCATGACCTTTGTAGACAAAAGCTTGTTGTTTCAGCACAGTGACTGGCTGGTGTTGCCTGCATAGAAATAGCAGACTGGTTTTGTGTCATTGACTGCTTCCAATAACAAGTGCTTTTCAATAAATTGGAACATTTTTACTCTCTGGGTGAAAAACTGGTCACATATTTCCCAGACTAAGCTGAAAATAATAAAATAGAACACCCAGACCATTATTTAGGCACCATGATTAATTTCCCTGTGTATTTGTCCAAAAATAGCACTTTAAAGAAGTCATTCAATTTGGCTGTACTAAAAATGACTAAAGTTCAAAGGAAATGATACTGACATAAAAAAACCATAATACAGGAAAATTTGGCAGAAG